GCAGAAGATGTTGTAGTACCGAAAGGGCTGAACCAATAGTCATTGAGTCAGGATGTTGTCGACCGAAATCTGGTTGCGAATGTTTGGGTGGAGGAGTTGATTGTCAACGCTGTGGACGAAAAGTATATCAAGCTGAAATGCAGGTAATTTTGATTTTAATTTTAAAAATCAATAGTTTTTTTGTTAATTCACGTTGAAACACGTGAACGTTGAATACCGTTCAAGATTGTATCCGGTATGCCGTTTCATAATACATGCTTCAGCTGCTACTGCTGTAGAAAACCCTTGGAACCGTTAACATATCAAGAAAATTGTGGGGAAATTTATTGCAAACGTTAGTGTAAATTTCGAATTTTATAAATTTACTCATTTTCTTTATTATAATCAATAGAATTTATTGTAGATTTTATATTTTAACTTCATCTTCGCTATTTAGAATGTTATGTTCGAAATTTCGGACCTCAAGGATATGGATACGGCGTGGGACCAGGTACATTACAAACTCCTATGTGAAGTTATTATACAACATTAATTAACTTTATTATCTCAAAATTAGTTATAAATAACTTATACATGACAATTTTTACTTCATAGTTTGTACTTCTTTTTTATAATTCATTCATTAAAACATAATTTACAAAATATATAAATATTTCCTCTTGATATAATTTAACATTTATAAGAAAAAATTACTATTAATATGAAAACTTTTAATTCATCAGAAATCTTATCTTACTATCAATCATTTTATAAAAATGATAAAAGGATTTAAATTAAAAGTATATAATATATATACATATATATATAAAATAAAAGACATAAAAATATTAAATGAAAAGGAAAAAAGAAAAATAAATCATAAAAATATTAGAAAACAAAATCACCATCCACTGTTTCAAGATTCCATACATCTATATCTATAAAAAATAATACAAGTATATATACAAATTCATAAACGGATAAAGCAGAACAACAAAATGGTTATTTTTCCGTGGAAAATAAGAACATACGAGAAAGATCGTACACTTTGCAAAACGGGGAAGAAAAAGAAATAAGAGTATTTTGTCGAGTAGTTTTATTGGTAAAAATAAAGATAGAAAGAATGGAAGAACGGAGTTGGATTCTGTGAAAGTACAGGGTATGAAACGAAAGCAAAGATATGAGAGAAAAAGAAAGAAAAAAGAAAGAAGAGAATAGGAAAGAGAAAAAGATGAAGGAAGAAAGAGTGAGTGGTTGGTTTATTGAGTCTCTCCTCTTAGTGGATTGTGGAACGCGGAATGTACGCGGCACTGCCGGCTAGAGGGGCGTTTATATAGCTTTCAAGCGCAGGAGCTTAATCTAATTTCAAATATAAATCTGTTCTCTCCTCGTTTTCCTTCTCTTTCTCTTTCCGCCTTCGTTTTCTTTCTTCGACCGATTCCTCATCCATATAGCAGCGTGCCCGCCCGCTTATATTATCCAGCTGGCTACGAATCTCTTTCGCTCTACCTATCAACGTTATAAGACACGCCGATTTACTTGACTTCGACGAATTATTAGCCAGATAGTAGAACATTCCTCGTCTTCTTACAATAAGCAGATATACATTTATTTGGACATTTAATTCAATTAACTTAACACTTTTAATAAATAAGTAATTTCATTCATACGACGATGATGAATTGATTAAAAAGTGAAAAATAATAATTGTACAAATTGGAAATATCAAAACGATTTAAAGAATAATAAGAAAGAAATTGCTTATTAAATTAGAATAAATATTTAAATACAAATCAAATATTTCTCTGATTTTTTAGAAAATTATTATTATATTTATAATTGTATAATAGAATTTTTACATAACAGTGCAAAAGTGTATAGAATTACATGAATAACGAGTCAAGTATTTTCTCGATGTAAAAGAAAATTCGCCTAAGGCTGGAATTTTTTGATACACAACACAGTAACGTGGATGCACCTGCGGTCAGGAAATCGAGAAAATATCTCCTCGGTTCGACGATCGGCTCGCTCAGTCTTTTGCGCGCGCCGCTTACTCTGAACGGTATGAAAATCAATTATTTCGTTAATTCGTGCGTTACATTGGCTGTCACGAAACCATCACTGTGAACGACAGCGGCCCAAGGCACTATTTTTCAATTCCCAATGTCGCCCTACCTTTTCGAACGTATTTCCGTCTGATACGTCCTCGCCATTTTGCGGCCTTATCTCTTTGCTTGGTTTTAAGTATGTTTTATATTCTAGGAAGAAATATTGTGCGATCAAGTACAACAATTACAATGGGATCAGTTGAAATTCATAAATATATTCAAAAATTCAATTTTCTAAATTATTTCTTAATATACATCGCGATTAAATAAATTAGAGTATGGAAAAAGATTGAATATTTAATGATTATTTTATCTATTATATCGAATTTTTATAAATAAATAATTATAATAGATAATTGTTTAAGATGAAATTATTTAATTAAGATATTTAACTTAATTAATTGCAGAATGATCGAATGATGATTTATGGTGTTTTCTAAACTTATTTAACATTTAGTTACTTATTGATATTTGGATATATCTAGCAAATTTTGAGTGGAACATGGGAGAATGAACGCGACAATCGAGGGTAGTATCCCATGACGTGGATGTCATGTGAAATTCTGGTACGTTAAAATTAATATCTCCCATTTGTCAATGGCCGATACGTTTTCGTTGTACAATGAAAACTGGCTAAAAAGGGGAGCATACACAAATGTTAGACCCCAAAATGTTCCCTAAACATTGTCACAACATAGCTAGGTAACCTGGAAGGGTATCCATAGAAGTCACATTATAAGATATTATTCTTGTAACATGTTATAAATTGATTATTTAACACGAAACAAGCAGATAAAAATAATCTTTTCTTCCTTTTTTTCTTAATCGGTAATAAACATTAATTACCGATTTCATAAATAATAATATTTTAAAATTCAAATTTTATAATAATTTTATATAATAATACTTTAATGAAACAATTCGTTCTTTATAAAATAATAACGAATAAAGATTATAGAATAAAGCGTTTTGTTGACGCGAAAAATGAATAATTGTTTGCAGACTATGGAGGATAATAGTGATTTTATCCAGCGTATCGAATTGCTGGACATGTGGACGCAACCGTGAAGAATCCATGCGTTTCAAATGGATCGCAGTTTATTCAGTATTCTGATTTAGAAAGGGTTCGAAATTATACACCCGACCACGTAAGTGTTTCAGTTCTTAACGATAATCGCCCATAAATACTAGATCAATGCAAAAACGTTCAATTGCAATTCTTCTTAATTCAAACGAATACCATAATTGTCAATTTTTGTATTATGTTCAATGTTCAATGATGATGAGAATGAGATGAGAAAATAACGAGATTGAGATAGGAAAGAACTTCATCTTCGATATCAGTATAAATAAAATTCTCATTTCGTGTGCAAATTGAATCAGATCAGAAAGGATACGATTTAAGAAGCAAGTCGTAAGGATCAGGTAATGAAAACATTAAGAATAACAACAATAGATTCTGGTAAGGGATTTTTGATATGGACGAACGTTAGCTAGCCAGGCGCGTGTGTGTACCGTACACATTTAATTTGCATCGTATAAATCGTGTTTCCGGTCGAGCACGCAATGCAAACACGCGTTACGTTTACACCCTCGGTCCCTCACTGCGTTTTCGATCCACCATTTGGGAGGAACAGAGAGAAAAGGAACGCCGTAGAGACGCGCGCGCTTTTGCATGCTGCCACGTATTGTAACCCCGGTAATTTATGATTCGATAAATAAATCAGCCACGTTTTATCCGTTCTCATTCTCTCTTTTTCGTTTTCTCTTATTCTCTCTTTCAACCCCTGGCGCCGATTTCTGCGCACACTTGTAAGATGATTTTGGGGGTTACGCCCAGTTTACCATCCGTGGATCTTCCTGGGGTGAAATCAACCCTTTTTTTTTCCTGCATCTCTCGACACGATCGTGTTGTACCTGTGAAGATTCTTTGGAAAGGATACTCACGATCTATTGTGGATTTATTAGGAAAAAAAACTTGATTCTATCCAGCAAGAATTATATTTTATTTATAATTGAAATTTACAATTTAATGACCTGATTGTTATTTTTTTATAGAGATCTCATTTGGATAAATAATATAGGGAATTCTATAACGTTAATTTTCATAAATATAATATTCTAAATATCATCGTCAATCATGATGTCTTGAAATATCGTGTAGTAAACTATTTATTAGCAAATCATTATGATGATTGAAATACATTAAGGTAAATTTTAAAAGATTTAGATAGAAACAATATTTAAAATTCTTTACAATTTTTAATGTAAAAATATATTAATGAAATTGCTCTTAAACGAGATTGCTCTTATGTTTCATGATTGTCCATCTCTCACCGATCATGAATATTCATACCATTATACATTTGTTTATCGCTCTATGCGTCGGTACACCGTGCATATATGCAAATAGTAACAAAATACATTCATTTTACAGTCATCAATACGTTATATGAAAAACCTTTCCTCTCGATAGATTCAAAACAATGACAAGGACTAACTTTGATAATTGGAAATTTTATTAAAATTCTAAAGATACATAATTAATTGATCAACCAGAATATCGTGCGTTTGCCTATGCTGACAGGTAATTGTGGCGGAGAAGCGATCAAAGGCGTGCATATTGTGAGTTGCTCATACATAGGAACGTTTAATCTTCATTTAAGGAAAATTTAATCGACGATATATTCAAAGCTTAATTTCCAAGGAGACGTATACTTAACAAATTATCTTCGATAATTAATATTGTTCAGGTATAAAATAATCAATTTATAGTATTATTATATTACTGGATATTGAATTGAATAAATAATATATTGATATTCAATATGTAATTAAATTGATAGCAAATTTTTATACACGAATAATTCTTTCTCGTTTTATTTAATTGGCAATAATTTCATTTCAGTTAAGATGAAGAGATTCGATGAAAATGAATCCGGCTTAACGGCTTCTATCATTTTCTAATGTATCATTGATGGTATAAAAAATCTTTGGTTTTATACAACGTGGTCCGTCAAAGACCACGATTCGATTTTGATACCTGTGTTACACTCTGATCGATTTCTCGGAAAGGAGAAATAAATAGAAGAGTAAAACGCCGTCCAAAATTTACGAGCGGACCCCGGTCTGTTATGGCTCCCGTGTGGAATCAGACCGATTTCCCTTGGCGGTTTTATTATTTTCTGATAGCATGTTTACGAGGAAGGATGAATGGAAGCGTACTTTATGAGACATGTATGGGTTTTAGATTAGGTATGATGATGCTTTACAAAATTTATATATATATATATTACTGTTTATAGGCCCAAAGATCATTCGTATATATTAATCCGTTATTATTTTATGGGGATCGATCATGTTTCCGTTGAAATTATAAACTGTGAAAACATGATTTTAGCATGGAAAAATTAAAAGAATCTTCTCTTCATTTGTTACTTTTATATAAATTTTTTTCTTTTCTTTTCTTTTCTTTTTTTTTTTTTTTTTACTAATTAACATTATTAATTTGGTTTTTAAATTCTTAATTTATATTAATTTCATCTTCTTTCATATCTGTAACTCTTTCAGCAATATGCGATATGTACATAATTAAA